GATGTTCATATGTTATTATTTTTACCTATGCACATGTTTAAAAAATGCACAGGTATTATTTTTATACATATATTTAAAATCTGCACATTTGTTAAGGCATATACATGTTATATTTTAAGTAACACATTTAAGATGTGAACATTTTAAGATATGTAAATGCTATAGTTTTTTTAAAAAGAATACGCATACAGGTATTTAAGATATTCACATTTTCAAGGCATGCATGCTATTATTTTTTAATTATATGCATGCTTAAGATATGCAGATTTTTAAGGCATGCATGTGTTTATTATTATTTTTAAAGCAGTTGAAGAGAATGTTTTGAAAGGCTGGCATAAAACAGGATGGAGATTTGAATTCAACAGGTTCCTTGCTATATGTGCTCCTGAGCTTCTACAGAGTGCTAAAAGAAGACCAAGCAATTAAGTCAATGTTTCTCAACTTTAAGAGGTGTGGGCTTCAACTCCCAGAATTCCCCTGCCAGCTAAGGTTGAGCAAAAAAATGGAATTAATTAGTAGAAGGTTCATTAAAGATTCATTAAAGAGACAAATGCTTCTCACACAATTGGATGGGCAAACTGTCAAAGAAAGCTAGCAACTTCTATTAGATGTGAAGCCACAAGCTAGGTTTATTAAGACATCCATAAGATGGAAAAATCTTGTTTCTGACTAAAATAGACCTGGAAGTGCAAAAAGAGAGAGAGAGAGAGAGAGAGAGAGATGAAAATTAAACCAGGAAAAATAGGTTTTTCTATTATTTTTTTCCTGGGAAAACAACCTGTTTTTTCCCAATTTTTCAGGGTTCTTTTTTCAGGACATGCCATCTCTACCAATAGGTGAAAGCAGGAGGGAGGGAGGGAGGAAAGAAGGAAGGAAGGAAGGAGGGAGGGAGAAGGAAGGAAGAAAAATAAATGGATTGATGGAAGAAAAGGGACAAGGAAGGAAGGAAGGAAGAAGGGAGGGAGGGAGGAAGGAAGGAAGGGAGGAGGGAGGGAGGAGGGAGGAGGGAGGGAGGAGGAAGGAGGGAGGGAGGGAGGAGGAAGGGAGGAAAAGAGAAAAAAGAATGAATTGATGGAAGAAAGGGGGACAAGGAAGGAAGGAGGGAGGGAGGGAGGAAGGAGGGAGGGAGAAGGAAGGAAGGAAAAGAGAAAATTAATGGATTGATGGAAGAAAAGGGGATAGGGAAGGGAGGAAGGAAGGAGGGAAGGAGAGAGGAAGGAAGGAAAGAAGGAAGGAAGGATGGAAGGAGGAAGGGAGGGAGAGAGAGAGAGAAAGGAAGGAAGGGGGAGGGAGGAAGGAAGGAAAAGAGAGACAAATGGATGGATTGACGGAAGAAAAGGGGACAAGGAAGGAAGGAAGGAGGGAGGGAAAGAGGGAGGAAAGAAGGAAGGAATTTATGAGAGTGCTTTTTTCTTAACAAACGCCTTCTGTTTTTCACACCTAATTTATGCTGGAGTAAGGAGAGGAGAGCAAAGATGTAAAAAGCCTTAAAATTATCTGTGGGGGTTATTACAAAAGAAATGGGTGAGATTCGTCAATCCATAAGGAATCCACGGGGAATTCAGGAAAAAGAACTCTAGATTGAGCCAAAGTGACGAAATTCAAAAGGTTTCACGCACTCCCCTCCATTACTCCGTAGTGGGGGACGTTTTAAAAAAGAGAGTAATAAGTAAAAATCATTTGGACCAGAAATATGAAATCCCGTTTGCTTAAATGCTTTTATTTGTCCCTTAGATGAGTTTTGACTATTGTAGATAGATAGATAGATAGATAGATAGATAGATAGATAGATAGATAGATAGATAGATAGATAGATAGATAGATAGACAGACATAGATACATAGATACATAGATACATAGATACATAGATATAGATGGATAGAGAGAGAGAGAAATAAGATAGGTAGGTAGATGATAGATATAGATGGATAGAGAGTGAGGATAAATTGGTTGGTAGGTAGGTAAGTAGATACATAGATAGATATACATGGAAAGAGGGAGAGTAGATAGATAGATAGATAGATAGATAGATAGATAGATAGATAGATAGATAGATAGATAGATAGATAGATAGATAGAAGGTTGGTAGGTAGATGATAGATATGGATGGATAAAGAGAGGATAAATTGGTTGGTTGGTAGGTAGGTAGATGGAGAGAGGATAAATTGGTAGGTAGGTAGGTAAGTAGATAGATAGATAGATAGATAGATAGATAGATAGATAGATAGAGATAGATAGATAGATAGATAGATAGATAGATAGATAGATAGATACATTGATAGATAGATACATAGAAGGTAGGTAGGTAGATGATAGATATGGATGGATAGAGAGAGGATAAATTGGTTGGTTGGTAGGTAGGTAGGTAGAGATAGATAGACAGGATAGAGATACATAGATAGGTGATGGATGGAGAGATAGATCTATTAATAAATCCTTTTCATAAAATGTGCCAATGGCGAAAGATGGGACCAGTCTCTTAAAGATTGCTGGTCGTGTTTGTTGAATGGCATTTTGAATGGACTTGCAGTGCTGGACAACCACCACAAGATGGCGCCCAATAATTGCAAAAGCTGAATACTCCAAGAAGGAATTATTGCTATTGTTGCTATTGTTGCTATTGTTATTATTGTTATTGCTGTTGTTGTTATATTATTGTTGTTGTTGTTATTGTTGTTGTTGTTGTTATTGTTGTTATTGTTGTTATTGTTGTTGTTGTTGTTATTATTATTATTATTATTATTATTATTATTATTATTATTATTATT